TGTAAACTGTCTAGGACTGATGCAGCCATCCAAACCTGTGCCACCAGCCACAGTCAGCAATCCAATTATTTTTAGTGTGAAAATCCTCTAGTACTGTGCTTCACAGAGTATCTTGCATGGGTAGAGCATCCCATGGAATATGGGTAAATCATTTTGGTAGTCAGCCTGGGAATTCTGGCATCAGCCCTGGCATAGGCAAAGGACCACAACTTGGCCCTCAAATTTTCTTCCGTCATCCAATAGTTTTGCTCTGTTTTGGCCATGAGATTCTGCACCCAGGCTTGGGAGAAAGATACAAATAACTGCATCTCACAGGGCTGTAAAACAAACTTTGCTCGTCAATAAGACACTTGCAGTACCTCATTTGTGGGGAGCTACACAAAAACGTATCCTCTTCTGCTGAACTTCAGCTCTTGCTACTTCTCCCCATTGCCCCCCACGGGGAATGCATGAAATCTACCAAGACTTTTTTCTGTAAGAATTTTAAGCAATTAGCACATTTCCATCAAGAAGCAATTTCTATGAACAAGAGGAACACACTGAGAACAAGGTAATGCCCAGGGTTCCAATTCTCCTTGCAGAAAGGGCTCTGCACTGTGGGCTTCTACTCAAGGCATGTTGCCAGTGCTGTTCTTCCAAGTTTCTATGACTTTGTGCTCTCTTGCTTGCTATACTTGGATAATCCAGATTCCATGTAGTATCTTTCTTTTTGCACTTGGATGCTTGGTAATTCCATCAGTTCACACAGCTAAATTTCTGCTCTTCAAATATCTGCTGAAATTATAACTGTCTCATTTCTGTAATTGAGCAGTTATTAAAGAAGGTATTTTTTCCCCATATTTAACCCTTGTATCCCACACATATTCCTTATATACCATTGCTTAATTGACTGTGCATGTATAAACTGTTTTGTCTCTGCTCTGAACTAACCTGAAAGCTCATTGGATGTGGGATTGCATTTGATAGTTATTTGCTCAGCATCAAGCGCCCTACCTATATCAGATTACAAACTTGAATAATAATTGGCTTGATTAGGGCAAAAGGCATGACAGGTAAACCAATGCTTGAATATACACTGAATGTAATCATTGCTACATAGGGCCTTTTATTTTCCCTATTCTCTGCCATCTAAACTCCCTGAAATACCAGGAAATCACTTTACTAAGCCATTACCCTTAAAATAATCCTGTCTACATAACCTTGTAATGACAGAAGAGTAAACAGTTTATGCAGATGGCAATAAAGCAAGCAAGATTCAGTGTTACTTGAAGTTGTAAATTATGCATGTATTACAGGAATTGACAAAAGCAAAATCCTATGCATATAAATAATAAAACCAACTTATTTACAGATTTTTTTTCAATAGGTTGAATCAAGTTTTTACTTCAGTAAAAAAATTAATCATACGCTAGAAAAAGCCCACTCCTTGTTTATACCTATGATGTATATCACCTGAATAGCCAGCTTCATTTTAGACTGACCCTTTTTAATACTGCTTATGGCTCAGATGTCAAACTGAATGCATGTGTTCTTTGCCCATTTTTGGAGCTACTTTTGTTATTCACTTAAATTTTCTGTTTTTTCTTTCTATATATGTGCTCACATACACATCTCTCTCTCTCTCTATACACCTCCTCCCTATCCTGTCTTGATAAAGAGATAATATTTGAAAGTAGTGCTATTTAAACAAATCTTTAGGACTCCTGCAAGAGCACTTGCCAAGATGGAGTTTCGTAGTTACACAGCTGAGGAGTTTTAAGCCATTTCTGAGCAGTTGCTGCTGTAAGGGGTGAAGTTAAATAACAGAGGCCAAACAGTAAAAACCCAGCATCAGGCCATGAGAGAACAGATGACTTTGTAGGAGTGAAGAAACCTTCCCACTCCAAAGAGAGCTCAGACTGGCTGTGGAACTCCCTGCCACAGGGACTGGAGAGCCTGCTTCCCTTAGTAAAAAACCAAGGGAAATGGAGAGGAGGAAGAAGCGTAGGAAGCTCCTTGTAAATGGTTATCCTACAGTTTTCAGCAGGTCTAATAACACTTGTAGGTTTCCTGCATAGCATCTAGGCTATGTTCAGTCCTAACTTTCCTTCAGCTGGAAATTCTACTTCTCAGTTCCTGCTTTACTTACCAAAGTGATAGAGCAGGCAGAGTTACTGAGGTAGCAGAGGTGAAATAGCACAGTACAGAGAGCTGTTCTCATGGAGGACAAAACAACATCTTCTATTCAAAATGCAGGTGTCCTCAGCAGTAAAATGTGAGAAGATTTTCATGTAATAGTCTTCCTAAAACTACAAAAGCCCAAAACAAAACAAAAAACTTCCAAAACAAAACATGAGGATCATCACAAAACAAACAGAAAATCAACCCAGTAGCACAAATGAAAATAACCCAGCCCTGAGTCTTCCAAAAAAAAAATAAAAATTAACACTCACAACCAGTCAAGAGGCAGCAACAAGTAACTTCATGGGCAAAATGTATTTCAGTTTTTGGCACATTACCTGAATGCTGGAGTCACTGCATCCTTTTAGGCTAAGTAGTATACATAAGCAAATTGGCCCCATTTGAAAGCAGCAAGCTTATGCTAACTTGGAATCTGTACAATTGAATGCAAAGCTAAAGAGCTACTCTACATTTCCATGACATTTGTATGAACATGCACGGGCAGAGTTACCCAGATCAGAGCTGAGGACTCTCATGCTCAAAAAGGACAAACCACTTAGTAAGGAGTAACATTCACTATTTAAATGAGAATTTATTAGGTCCAAGAGAATAGGGCATTTGTACTGACACAGAAAACTATGAAGGCCAAAATTACACTTAAACAGGAACAAACCCATTAGCAGTCAGCTTTCCTATTCCCACAGCACTCTGAGCTACATCAAGATATACAGTGAGGGTTTTCACACACCTTTCCACTCTGTTATTACCACCTGACACCCTGGTTAACACCATCATTTGTGCCAGTGCAACCTGACTGTCCCTGAGCAATTAACCCTCAGGCTTGAGAGACAGCTAGTGCTGAGGAAACCTTTTCCTATCAGTGCCAATTAACTAATTTTTTTAAACTGTAGCTGATGCACAGATGATCTAAAAGGCTCCTGTTATAAATGATGTTGCATCTTTAGTGAGTGGGTGCTAAACTCAATGGAACAGGAGTAAATCAGAACACCTTTGCTCAAAAATAGAGTATTGCAGAGCTCTCCAGCAGCAGTGTCAGGTCACAAGGGTACACGAGTGTACAGAGGAGTCTGGCCTTCTGTCATGCTCCAGCAGAATATTGGTGCCCCTTATTCCTGAAGGTGGACCTAGGAATCTGAACTGGCTCAGAACCCAGAGACCAGCAGCAATGACCCCAGTCTCACCAAATGACTTTCAGTTATTCTCACGGCGTTCATTTTAACAAATTGTGACCTTTGAATTTTGCCACTCAAAATGAAGAAACAAGTTTTCTTAGCAGATTGGCATTTGCACATGCCACCTTTGCATACTTAAGTACATGAAACCCAGTTTAATTTCATTATACTAGGACTGACAAAAAAAAAAAATGAACTCAATCACAAATCAACATGAAATCAGATATTGATAATTGTTATTATATTAGTTAAAATATTTTACTTTGAGTACTACAAGGAAGAAAAGCTAAATTGAGTCACTGCTTCAAAATGTTTATGTCACTGAACTAAGGCATGAGAAAGCTAGACATGAAAATAATACATATACTGGGGAATGCCGTTTGACATATATATTCCCAGTTGTTACAAATTTAAGCAAGGCTGTTAAAAGGGAGGTTTCTCTTGCCTGCTCATTTGGTCTTTGGAGTTACAAAAAGGCACTCCTTCCATACTCCGGATCCCAGATGGAGCACCTCACTCCTCTGTGCGGTAGCCAGTACTATAAGGATTTTAAAGGATTGCCTTGTAGGCATGGAGGAATGGAACACCTTCATGTCCAAAAATCATGTGTAACACTCAGCAAGCTAAAGCCCTCTTTTCCCCTCTATTAATCAGCTGTGATTCAGCTACAAATTTGGAGTTTATTTCTGCCTTATCTCCTCCAAAAGGCCCTTCTTGCACCTTTTCTTGTTATCAAGCTGTGAAGATACCAGTACATCTTTCCATAAACTGCTTCATTTGGGATTCCAGCAAAACCTTCATCTTGATAGGTCTCTATGTACCTATAAGAGGTTCCAATATGCACACGCATCCCATGTCTGAGATGTCCAGACAGTTGGTTTAGGCCTTGTGCTTCCTTTCACTGATTTTATTGAATTCATAACTTCATCATGAAGGGTTATTGGCCTCAAGCTTAAAAAGACTAATCAGTAGGCAGAGCCATGCCTTGTAAACAGCAAAAAGTGCTGGCTAACAACCATCCCAGTTCTTAACGAGATCCCAAACATATTTTCAGGTCAATGCTCTATCCATCTGTTAGTGTTTCATTCAATGTGTTCTCTATTTTAAAACTTATGAACTTGCATTTTAATGTGCATGTAAACAGAAATAATTCAACAGCAGCACCACTGGGTTTGTTGTGAAAAAGTGATAACCACCATGGGGCAACAGACGGTGTAGAAGATTACTCAGACATGCTTGGTGAGTACCCAGAGAACACATGAAACCCCAAAAGGAAGGACAGGCTGCATATTTCATACATAGGAGCAATAAAGAAAATCTGCACTTGAACAAAAAAGAATATATGAACAAAAACAGTTATGTGGCCTTTCATGACATGACTGCAAAGATTTATTCACCTAATTAATCAAGAAAATCCTCTTTCATAAAACTTGTTGGAAGTGAAATATTCATAAGGATTTGTGACTAGCTTGTGACTCCTTTTTTACTGTGGTATATAAAGCAGACATTTTCCATACAAGCTTGATTGCTTAGATAAAATTCAAGTTGCATCCATGTGTGATTTCTTAGATGATTCCCATCAAAAACGTCAGTAACTTTTTAATGCAATTCTTATTTTCTTTTTTAATAAGCCACAGTAAAACCATATAGGCAAAAAAATCCTTTATTTCACCATTAGCCATATAACCAATATGCATAAAATGGTGGCTATGTTTTGTTCAAAACAGTTCCAAACCCGAAGAAAGCTCTACTGAAAACATTAACCAAAACCCTTTATTCCTATAAAAATAATAAAAAAAAATATACATTCAAGAGGTGTCTACACTTTTAAACAATAAATTAAACTTTGTAATATCAACATCAATTTACATTTCAAATGATTTAAAAGAACAGAGTAGGGTACAAAATAATCTCATTCCTTACCTTCCAAATACATCAAATACATTCTTTTATTCCTTTAATGCACTGGCACCTAAGATCTTAGAAGAACTAGAGTGGTACAGGAAAAAAAAAAAAAAAATAAAAACCCCCCAGCCAGAATCCTTGGATATTATCTTCTAAGATTTTGCTGACAAAAACACTAACTGAACTTATGTGAAAATATGAGTTTAGTGACTAGAATAGTGAAATCTTCTTCAAAACTTGCAAAAAAACCCAAACAACTTTGGCTTTCCCAACTGTTATCCAATTTATTCCAATATTATAAACACATTTCCATATCAGCTGTAATCAAGGTCAGTTTTAATCAGTACATCATTTGTGAGGATGAATGGCAGGCAGATTTTTAAACCTTTTATGGGATTGTCCCCGTTATATACCTTGTATCTCTCTATTAAGGTTACACAATGAAGTGTGAAAACCTAAATAAATTATGTTTAGTGCTCACTGCACAGGTCACTGGAATGTAAGCACTGATACCTGTCATTTATTTTGCAAAACCTGGACTAGAAATAGATTTACATTTGAGTTTATATTGTAATTCCCCACCTAATTTCTACAGGCACTAATTTAATTCCCGCTAAACTCCAAGTTTTCGGTCATATATGCAAAGTTCTGAATTAGAAGGGCCTGACCAGGATTAACCCAAGTGCTGCCACACTCACCTGCTGCTTAACTAAAGCAAACAAAGCCCTCTGCAATTAACACTACTGGGCTGAGCTTTTTTTTTTTTTGAATGGAGTGCTTTGATATTCTTGCAAACCCATACAGATACACTGGATCTCACTTTGAACTAGACTGCTCAGGTTAGATAATAAAAATACAATCAATTTAGGCTGTGGATTTACTGTGCAGGGTTTCAATATCTTTTCCCAAGGAAGGCAGCCCTTTTTCCTTATTCCTGAATCAGGGTCACAACCAACCATGTGCAAGCAAGTTGACAAATAATCAGGAATTTGGGCTGATGATGCACTTTCTGTGCTTTAGTGGCCATACTGCACACTAGCTGAGAGCCAATTTGCTTTAAGACAAGCTGCAACCACTTCTACCAGCTAACCTTTGTATTTCTGTATTTTTGCAGAAAACTTATTTTTTTTTCCTTTTAAAAAGTATGTTTTGTACAGAATTTGGCAAATAGTGATTCCTTACTTGAAGATTCAGATTTTAACTTTAATTTTTTTTAAAATTTTTTTCTTTTTAAAGCATAAATTCTAGCTTGGTGCAAGATGATTTCCTGATACTTGGGAGAGCAAGATCCAAGGAATATTTACAAAATGTTTATTCTGCAAAAGGATGGTAAAAATATGATGCTACTCTGGCTTAAGTTGGTAACTGATGTTTGGTAAGGGGTTTAATAGCCCTAACAAAACATCTGCTTCCTCTTAAGCATGCAGGGAAACCTCACCAGTTACCCAGCCACATGCAGGTTTCATTTATGTCTCAGAAAAAGACATAAAATGAAAACAGCCAATATAGTTTTTAAAAGGAAAATATTTAAGATTTTTTTTAATACTACTTAAGAGTACAAACCAGTAGATGAGGAAAATGTTCCACTTAAAATTATTTTCTAGGTGGGTTTGACAAAAATTAAATCCTATGGCAAACAGTATGGCTCTTTACTAAAGAAACTGTTCCAAGGGAAATCATGTTTGAAACAAGGAAGTGTTTTAAAGGAAAAAGAGGGAAAAAAAATCATATTTCCCACCCCCACTTTATCTGTTAAAAGCATTTTCATGTTCACAATGTTTGATTTTTTTCCTTTTAATATTTAAGTTAAACCCAGGTCTTATCTGCCCTGAAGAAAACATTTCTTACACGCTTTTCCATATATCTTTTTGATTTCTACCCCTGCTAGCAGCACTGTTTAAATTTCTCTGAAAGGAGATCAGTTGAGACTTGTCTGAACACCACACTGCCTCTACAGCAGGTGGGAAAAAAAAATAAAAAAAATCCTTTCTTAAGCAACAGTAAAATCACCTCGCCTGAGACAAAGCCAGTTTCACACTTTCACTTTCCTACACTTGTAGGAAACCTCAAAGTGATTTTATAAGGCAAAACAATGACATTTCAGGAAACAAAATCATGAAAGACAAGTAAACACAAGTTAAGACAGTTAACAGTACACTGAAGTGCTTCACTAATGTCTATTAAAATAAATGCTTTAATATTTTAAATACAACTTTAATGAAAGGTTTACCTGCAGCTAAGCCCAAAATAAAGCACAAACTAAGACTACTCTTATCCAAGTAGTCTGCAAGCAAATGTCCCCTTCCTGAGATGAATTTGACTTAAAAAAAAAAAAGACAACAACAATATTTCATTGTCTCTTATAGTCCATACAATTTGTTTTTTCCCATAATATTATTGATCCTCAACATTTGCTCTTTATATGAGTTGTAAGAATGCTACTGTCACAGAGCTAGTGTGAGCTGAAAAATGGTTAAATCTATTGATATTATGTGGAACTTCTTCCTTTTGATTCAGAAAAACTCTTTTCTTTAGAATGACAGGCTTCAATGATTGTAGATGCTACTGTTTGAGGCTTATACAGTGTTAAAGTACACTAAAACTAAATCATATTGCATTAGACATACATTTAAACTGTTAATGTAAACTACAGTTAAAACCAACAGCAATTTGAGATGGCTGAGCACTATCAGTGTCAGAACTTAAATGCAAGAAACACATATAATAAAAACATTTTTTTATATAATGAATTAATCATTCACTTGGCCTTTGAACAAAGTATTTAATGTTTACTCTCTATATAGCTTCAACTAATAAATGCTTTTAACCAAGTAGACTGGTTGCAGGTTACTAATCAAAATACAAACATTTCCCAGCACATGTTCTCTGGAAAGGCTGAGAGAGTAAAATAAACTCGCACTTAAATGCTATAGGATAGAAAAATAAAGCCATTATCAGTGAAATAACTATGTTTGAATTATAATTGACTGAATATTAACCATGTGCATCTATTTTCAACATTTATGCGTTTACTCTGACACAAGAATACTGTCTACAGGGAAGAGCTTTTTTGTAAAAAAGTATCATACTATACTTGTAATAAAGCCAATGCAAGGTTGATGATACAGTTGAGAACTGTAGTTCTTTTAAAATACATATATATTTAACCAAGTACTGCATAGTAGGAAATATGAGGGTAAAAAGGGAAACCAACAGTTAAAAAAATGAATATATATGAAGACTTATTGCTGAATTTGTGGGTACACTTTGACTGCATATAATTTAGTATCAACAGGATAAGATACTACAAAGACAGGATAATTAAAAGCAAACCCCTGGATTACAATTTTTTCTTTTTTCAAACACCACCACTGTTCAAGGTTTAGTTGTATTTTAATGATTTGTATTTCATACATCTGATTACACAAAAGGAATTCATGGTTTAGGGCACTGTTTTTCTTATTTTTAATAAATAGCAAGACCTGACCCTTTCACCTCCGTCTCAGAAGTGTTCCTGTGTGGGATTTCTGTAGAGGCGCTGAATAGGCAGTTAAATTATTTCCATATAAAATATAAAGCCACTAAGTTAAAATTTGTTTAATTCTGTAGAAATAAATGTTAGTGTATTTCACAGTGATGAAAACCTCAAGAGTTTATTGCTCCCTCTTCAACCACCACCACACCATCAGATAGTTTGAATACTTATTTTCAGGATCATGCCAGCACAGGAGAATCTGAGGGTAAAATGTTTATGAAGGTTGTACAGAATCTTGTCTTCACAGCATTTTCTACCATTTGCCAATTGCTTGACAAATAAAAACTTTGTGGTCACAAGTCTTAACTCCCACCAAACCCCACCCCCCCAATCTAATCAATTAAATCTAAGTCTTCGTGATTTCTTAATTTTTGTCAAAACAAAAGCTGGCATTAAGATGTTTTCACAATTTCATCTTGCTTTCATTGCAAGATCAGATCTAAGGCATACTTCATTCAGTGCAAAGTCATCACACACTACAGAGAGAAGACAAAACCCCTTCAATTCTCCCCTATGGACCCTACAGGTACCTGTGCAAAACCCAGCAAGACTGAAATAAAGATGGACACAATATACAAGATATGTGTGAAGTTAATATTTCCTCAAAGGCATTTAAAGAAAACAAACAAATAAACTTACAGAGATTACTATTTATATAGCTTTGAGTATTCTCTCTGTGGCCAGCAATTTCAATCAAGTTATTAAAATCCAAGAGCTCCCCAATGGTATTACCAAACCCATCCAAGTTTATCAGAACAAGAGCAGCATTTGTTGTCAAAATATGACAGTCATCATTTAAATCCACACATACTGACCCAAGTCAAGCCTATACCATATATCTTGAGACTGGCGTTATACAAGAAATACATTTACAGTGCTTTGGTAAGTACATATTAAACATGAAGAAACATAAATACCAGTTGGAATATAGGAATAACCTTGAACACAAAAAAACCATGAGTACTTCCATGAAAGACACAGATGTCACAAAGATGCTCTAAATATTTTCTTAGAATTTATTTTCTTGCCTTTTCTCACTTCTTGACAAACTATTAAATGCAAGTCATGCCAACTGCAAGGGATGACTGAGACCTGGGCAGAGGAAAACTTTTAAAAAAAAAAAAAAAGATATTTTAACAGACAGGCACACACGTAACAAAGCTTCCCAAATAACATGTGCATGTCCACTGTCATTTTACCTTTGGATTCACACAGATTGAGATAGCTGGTGCAATATAGCAAGAAAGGAGTGAACCAGTCTTTTGCCTTCTAATCTGTGACCAATCAGGCAAGATGACAATGATCCAAAATATTACAGAAAACTCCAGTTGAAGTGAAATTTGGAATGCAGTATCTAAGGATGTGCACAAACCTAGCCACGGTTCAACCTAACAGAGCCAAGAAGGTTTCCATGTTGCCATCTACTCCGCACATCTCAATTGAAACTCTTTCAATCAATAAATAGTAACCAGGTATCTTCTTCAGGTATAGCTAAAAATGTAATCTTGGATAAAGGACCAAGCTTACAAAAGTCAAGTCAGCAGTTTAGCTCATCCTACGTGCACTTTCTTGTTATCTCCTGGGGGGAAAAAAACCGTAATCTTCCAGTAACATGAGAGATGCATATTGTACAGCTGTGATAGTTTCTATAATGAAACTCCAGCTATAAATGATAATATCCATAATACAAACCATAATCCTGAAATACATCTGAATATGTGTGTGCATATATATCTCTCTGAAAAAAAAATTATCTAATTTTCTCTTTTATACATATAAACATCTGGCTAATATGCCCCATAAAAATTTTTCCCTATTTAGAAGTAATTTTTTAAATAACAAAGTTTTAAACAGTCCCTTAGAATATTTTTCAAACACTATTAAAAAATGAATAACTATCTCAGGTTAATCAAAAAGCACACACAAAATAATTTAACATTATACAAATGTGGTTATACTGTTCAGAAAGTCCAATTCTCTCATCTGAAATGAAATAGAGACCAGTGTACCTTAGGGTGAATTATTCATCAATGTACAAATTCATTTTCTCTTTCCACGTAAATCTTCAGGTGAATTCAACTGCATTTCTGTATAAGCAAGAAACACAGTAAATCTGGAGAACTCTTGCAAAAGGGAGTTGTGTTTCGCTGGATAAGAGTGCTTTTGCTGGAGGGCAGCAAGTCAACATTTTATCACCGTCTGAACACTAGCAACACCTGTGCCCTTGTAAGCTTCACACCTTGAAATAGCAGCAACATATTTGATGGGTTCAGTAGTAATTTTTCTTCCAGTATTGGATTAGACTACTCTGCATATACAGCAAGTCAAAAGTCTAGTACTTGTGTGCAATATTAATCCACATTTACATCTGAAAACTCATAAATACACATGGAAACAAACACGACAGAGAATTAAACCTCGTTTTAAGTTAAAATATTTTCAGTCCACATACAGAAACAGCAGTGGAAAGTATAAAGGAGACAGCAGAAACAGAAGAAAAGGGGTGCAATAACTAAAACTGTAAGAAGTAGGTCCCTGTCAAAAGGGCAAGTTGCAACTAAAATTGGTCAACAGAAGATGTAGGCTGTACCACCTGCATAAATGCCTAAATGCAGCATTATTTTCACATCACATACAGTAGATGTGATTTCTAAGCAGCATATGATAACAGCTGGCATACTCACTAATTTCTCCAGCTCAGTGTTCAGTAGGTATGCATAAGCCTTTAAAGCTCTTCGTCAGCCTTTTAGTCAAGGTTAGAGTTCTATGGATATTTAGTATCCCAAAAGAAAAGTTACAAATATTCACCTTCAATGAACTTTCATATGATACAAATATATTAAATACCTTCTTAAGATGAATCATTTCAATATTAGTTTTCTTTTTGCTATTTCAAAGGAAACACAAGGAACTTTGTAACTTCCAAAGTAAAGGGTGTCTTAAGGCAGTAAAAGATATTTGTTAAGGTTTCCATGATTGTTTATGGTTGTTTATGTGAATAATGCATATTACACACAATTGCTCTCATATATTTATCTATGTGACTTTGTTATACTGTACATGATTTAGCAATGTTTTTGAGGAATTTAAAGTGCCACAGTTCAAACGTGCTCATCTGTCTTTTCATGGGCTTCTAGTCCATTCTAGTTGCTTTCAGAAACAAGCCCTTGCTCTACTTAAAGAGCAGTTTTTTTAGGCGAAAAAGGAATTCATCCTTCACTGCTGTGCTAACTGGAATCCAGTGGTCGAACCAATCCTTCTTTGTAAACACGAAGAATAGCTTCACAAACAAACTTGTATTGACTCTGTGTAGGGAAGAAAACACAAAAACATTTATGGATGTTCAGTCAAACTGCTGATTAGACAGTATTATTGAATAGGACTAACAGTTCCATGGCTTCCTTTTTTTCCTGAGCAATGACAGGAGAGGAGCTACAAGGATGGGAGGAGAAAATCCTACTCTCCTGTCTGTGTTCACAGTAAACAAAGCTGACATTTACTCTTCCTTGAAGGACAAGCACTAAAAATCACACACCAAGGAAAATACAGTTACCCAAACTAAAAGAATACGTGCTTAATCTTCAGGAAATAGGAATTATTTGTAAAAACTATGCATAACTTTTGACTAAGTTTAACTTGATATTTACCTTCTTTATACATCTCATCTATCTGGGGGAGGGGTGGGGGGGTGGTAGTTATCTAATTATTAAGAGTATTCTGAGTTTGCCAGTCCTGCAGTTACATATTACTGTGCACATTTAAATTACATGCCCAAGGCCACATTTAAAGTTGCCATATAGGGTCTATAGGTGCAACTACCTAACTGAAGGCCCCCCCCCCCCTTTTTTTTTCCAAACCACCTACAGTACCACAGGAGTCACTTCATTTTCAATTTTTGATCAGACCACATATCCCTTTTTGTAACAGAAGGGGATCAAAACCTTTCAAATTAATATTTTTGAAGAGCAGCATCCACATTAATTCTTCTGTCACTCAACATTTTGATCTCAATTAGATCTTAAAGTCTTCAAAAATTAGAGTTTCTTTTCTACATTATACTATTACCAAGACTAGGTCTTCCATGACCTTGTAATATAATTATTTGTTAAAAACAATTAGCCTGTAAGCCTCTGCCTAAAAAGTGATACAAGGAGACAGTATCCATAGGACTAGTGCAAAACTGAAAATCCAGCTAGCCTGAATAAATTTTTATGACTAACACAATCCTGAGAACACAAGATGATTGAAATTTATAAGAACTTGCAAAGATCAAAGCATCCTCACTTCTGTGGAAGTACTATTGTCAAAACCCCAAAATGAACCCTTTTCTCCAAAGTTCCATGTCATGTATTCAGAGAAGCAAAGCTTCACATTTTTTACATCCCTTTGTCCATCTTTGAAATGTTCTCCCAGCTGCCCTTGTATTGACAGTTCCCATCAACTCTTCTGAAGCATCTGGAAACATTCTCCCACTATCTCCCAAAGAGAAAGGCTAAAAGATAACATTTGGACTGTGAAGGACCTTAGGTTGCCTTTGTATACCAGCAGTGAAGAATGTTATTCTTGTCCATAACACAACACACTTTCTTTTAAGTACAGAAAAACTTAAGGAAAACAAGAAGGTGGAAATGCGTTTTCTGCATCTTGATTTATCTGGATTTTCTTTCAACCTTTCAGTCAATTACTCCCACCTTCAATATCACTTTGTTCTTATTTCTTAATTACCTTCACTTGTCTCTTCATTGTTATTGTCATTTCCATATTTCTACTGCCTGAACAAGCCAGGTGTGGTATTTAGCTCTCTGTTCAATACTTCTGTTAACTTGTGTGATCAAGTTACTGAACAAATAAAAGAATGAGCACCTCAGCATTGCTTCCTCTGACTCAATCTCTGACTACTTGTTTTCTTTACTCTTATCTGTTTCATGTATTCTTATTGCTCACTCTACTAGCTACCTCTATCAAGTACATCCTAAGCACTGTATGCTGCATGGTTCAGATACCTAATTTCTCTTTATTGGAAGAGAAGGGTTAATCTTTCCTTTTTTTAATTAAAAGCCATACAGTTACACCGACTTTGTTATAGCTTCATCATTTTGGTTGAAGTTCTTTTGCTGCTCAAGGTAACAAAACCACTGGTCTTTGAGAAATTACAGCATTCATATGATTAACAACAGACTCTAAACTAACCAAGTAATAACTCTGATCGGCCCATTCTTTTTGAGTGTGCCCTGTCACAACATGCATCTAGCAAATCATTATCACCTTAGAATCGGAGCACACACAGAGTGTGCCCTACAGGGCAGCTGAACGTGCTTTAGGTAAAGCTATTAAAACTGAACAATCCCTTTATTACAACCGAATAATCTCTAATGGCTTCTCCCAGAAATCCTACGTGGGGTATCAAATATAACAGTGAGGCTAGGTGGAATGCAGGCATGGGAATGCAATAGAGCACCCAGGATAGATCCAAATATTAACATGCAGCTCTCTGGTATTCTGTTTTCTCACAGCTGAGTGCTTGCTTCTCTGTCTCATTTACAGTACAATATGCCAATTTTGCTCACTGGCTTTTCACAACAGTGTCTACCTTCTTCAGAAATAACACATGAATTTAGTTTCACAGTATTGCTGCTACAGATCATCCCTCTCCTGATTGTGCTGACAGCAAACTGCATAACACAGCAAGCAAGGTAAAGAATCCTATTCTGGATATTCATTTTCCGTACCAGGAGTCTGACTGTAGCTGTATTTATTACTATTCCCTGTATTCTTCAGTTATGTCAAAGTGTGGGGTGAAAGGACAATTCTGTCTCATTTCTGTTGTAACAAAAGGGATTCAGTCTTCTGGCAAGCTGAAGTTTACTTCAGGTTTTTACATCTGATCCTCAAGAACAGGATCACTTCTAGAATGCTGAAGCTTGAACTTGTTTAGGTAGTTTTAGAAACTGAGGGGTGTAGACAGGTACAACTGCAGAAGTTAACACTTGGCTTCCTTAAACTTAAAGCTAGTGTTCTTCATCTCATGACCACCTTTGTCATCAGCTCAGCTTCTACTTCAGCAAAGAACAGGCAGGGCACCTTTCAAACAACTGCCTTGTCAACTACACAGTCCTGATCCCCTTCCAAAGAGTGCACTCCTGCTGCCATGAATGTGAATCCCAGCAGCACACATGCACAAGCTCTGCTCACTGAGCGCTCTAATGGTACACAGGCAGCTGCAGATTCTGACACTTTCATGACATTTGATGATGCAAGATTTCCCCCACATCTAGTCATAATGCTAACACCTGCAATCATTAACCTGCTAATGAATAGAATTTGTCTTTTAAGTTTTCTTTGATCAAATGGATTTGATTTCAATGCATTTTAGGCATTTTCTTTGTAAGATGAGACAGAAATGCCCAATTTAATTGTGTGGCTTTCTATGTCTAAACACCCTTTCATTTCTCATAGGGCATTCAGTTCTGCAAGATAACCCACACTCAGAATTTTTGTCATCCAGCCTCTCCTAAAGAAAGAACAATCTCTCATCCTTCATCCTTCTCTAACGTCAACATGTTCATTTCCAAAGCTGACACAAATTTGCTCTCATGAATTCAAAGTTGCCTCACTTTCATCTTAAAATCACCGTCTATTTTCATGTTTCAGCTACTGAGGCTACACAACTTGTCTGTATTTTTTTCCAACTGAGTAGTGGCAAAATTAAAAAAAAATCTGTAGTACATTCTTATGGAATTTCTGCTCTAAAGTGGCCTTTCGAAAAGCCACTTCCTTCTTTTCAAACCAGACCACAAACACTTTGATTTTACTTTCAACTTAGTAACTTCCTATAGTACTCTGTACGAGAATAAAAAGCAAAAATTTATTCTAGGTTCTTGAAGAGAATTTAGACAAAGGACTGTGAACAGATGATCAGTACAAGTCTGACTTTGGGCATTCTAACTACTTACAATGTATCAAAATCAATTATCTTTTCCTGACAAGATAAGAAATATTTTAAAAACAAATAAATACATACCTCATTAGCAAAGCAGCCTTTGCCACCATGCTACATTATGGTAAATTTATGAAGTTTGAAATATAATGACAATTGAAGATTCAGACTACTAGATCCTTTAAAAATATTTTGGACCTGTTTTGTAACTTGACAAGTGCAGTTGATATACAGAAAAATATGCTTCCTCTCCATCACTTACTGATGTTTGCACCATCATAGCTCTCTGGTCTCTCATTTTCCGTACAATATCCAGTGGATAAACAGGCTGGTTCCTTTCAATTAGGCACATGGCTGTTTCCATAGTGACCAACACACCAGTGCGACCGATTCCTGCACTGTGAAATGCAACAGGAAAATAGTCTATAAAATTAGGTTATTGCAATGCACCAAATTCATATCACAATTTTAATAGTAGGACAACCTTGGAAATTACAGGAAGACCATAGTAAAATTAAAAAGAGGGCAGAGTTTATTTTTACAGCAACTTCAGTAATATTTTCTGGTAATTACTGAAAAGAAAATATTTTTTAATACAAGTAAAACTAAAACCTCACCTAAAGTAAAGGCATTTTTAAACAATTAAACTGTTCAAACGTCAATGGTTTCATATTTTTGTCTTAAAAAAGGTCAGATCTAATTGACTGCTTTTATGACACACACTTGAACAGCAGGAAAAGAATTTTTGCAGTACCATTCAAAATGAGATTATAACAGAGGTAAAGGATGAAAACCAGAGAACAAATTAAATTGCAGATTATCAGATCTGTGATAATTATGTGACTAAGCCATTTCACCATTTCAAAAGGTTGCAGGAGAAAAGGAGACAAAGTAAACTCATCCTTTAGATAGAACATCAGTGTTTCTGTCTTCAGCAGTAAATGCTCGTATTGCATGGTTTAACATTTTCATCAAATTCAAGGAATCTCCTGTCCTGAGAAACTTTTCCCACCAAATGCTTATTCTAAGGCTGAAGCAGATCTATAATCAGAGTTTTTAAACACAAGTACCTGCAGTGAACAAGAACTGGCTCATTCTTTACTCTCTTTGGCCTCATACAGGTCACAAACTCCAAGAAGTCCATGGAGTCATCAGGAACGCCATGATCCGGCCAAGCTACGTACTGGAGATGGGTGACGGTGTGTTGCTGTTCTGTCTAAAATACAGTAAAGTTTTCAAACAATGGCCAGTGTTATGACTCCTGTATTAATGTTTACTAGATACAAGTCATTTTTTTCACAGCAAGTGTTTTCTGCAGATGCAATAAGAGGTAGATGGTGTAAAAAACATTTGTGATTTTAAAATTCAGTGTAAAGTATGAACATGTAATAATTCATAAGGCATAACATTTTCTAAATTAGTGAAGTATCAAGTTTGACTTGTGTGAACTAAATATTTTAATTTTTTGATTTATTGACTGTTAACCTATGACACTTTGACATCATTGATTCACCTGAGCTAAAATGCTACAAGACATAAGCATAATAGTATTATACTACAGTACAGAACTGGTTGGAAAACTGAGAACAGCAGAACTACTGAGAACAATACTAATATAACAGGGGGTTAGGGCTATTCAATCTACTACAAATACGTGTGTGCACACTTAGAGATTCAGGTATAATAAAGTTGCCTTCAACACTTGCTAAGTCTGGTTTCTATTAGAAGAGAATATATACATATATATCATTCATACACACATGCTCATTGTACATATATGAATGACATCTGTATGATCCACAGGAGGATACTCTTCTGTATGGAAGCAATATAATTAGTTAAAAGACTCTGTTGTACAAAGAGTTCTTTTTTTGAATCAATTATTCGTAAAAACATCACGGTTTTACAGAAGTTCTTTCAGTTTAGCTTTTTGTTAACTTTGATTATGAAATCACTCAATCATCTCTGCATTCAGATTGGGCTGAACTGTTATGTTACAGATGTAACTAATGGTTAGGGTGGGAAGAGGCTCGTGAGCTCTGTTGCATCATGCAGCAAAGATCTCAATCCTTACAAACTGCGTCCCCATGTTCCTTAATTCCTTCCCCATGTTTTGCAATAGCTAACCCGTTACCTGCATTTATTTTCTGTCCATTGCCAGACTTAAAATTTGACAGCCTTCTGAAATAAAACTCTCATTTTTGGCTGGATTAGTCTGTAAAAGCTGGCCGTTCCCTAGTGGTCCGCACAGGAATGTTTCTGTGATGCTAGTGACTTTTAGACTTTTTTCTCTTTTTCTCTTATGCTCACAACTGCTGAAATATAGGATATGTTTTAAATGTCTTCAAGTGCTTGTTTTCCTCTCCCACTTGAGGGTGTTCCACTCCCAGGGAACAGGCTGGTAGGACACATAAGACGGAATAAGTACTATCTATGTACTAAGTAGAGTTTTAGGGAATACATTTATTCCAGTCAGAGCAATTTCAGAAATTTACAATTGTCCACACGGACAAAAAGAAAAACTACACAGCTCATACTTTGCTTCTTAAAAGCAGAGCCTGAGCAATCAACAATTAAAAAGGGCCAGCATAAGACCCACATGGACAATGTAATCTAACATTAATGACCAAGCTCACCATAATACAAATTACATCAGGTTCTACCATCCATGTCATCAAGAGATGCACAATGACCAGGATCTCTGCATGAAAAAGCATGTATGGCTTTTTGTTACCCAGCTCTACTGAGTAGAAAAAGTTCACCTTAACCAAATGATTACCATTCACATTTTTCTGAAATGGCACAGATTAAAAAAAAATAAAATACAAAAACATGTCTAAAAATGTCTTTAAAAAGTTCTTCTTTAAAAATCTCCATATGCTTCATCAGAACCTCTTCAAAAGGGAAATGAGATAAAGAAGCAATTACATGTAACAGTTTGAGCTCATTCTCTTCAATTAGAGACCTCTGAATTACAGCATCCTGGTGAAACAAAGACTTGACTAATTTGAAAATTATCCAAGACTGAGTACCCAGTTGTCATTCATGTGCTTTAAGAACCAAAAGCTATACAACATGGATAAGTGCCAGTGGCACACCTGAGAAACACTGACAGTCATCTGTAGAAGCAAGAAGTTATTTTTCAAGCTCAGAACAAAGGAAAGAACTGACTTAATTTTTACTTATCAGTGCTTCAGGCTCAAATAGAGTGAGCTGCATTTATTAAATTGTTTACAGACATCAGGTACAAGAAGTATGTTATGTAAGACTTATTCAGAGTGAGAATACACTAAGAACATGCAATTAGCCCTCAGAGCTGCTGCTTTTGGTGTAATAATCTCCAATTTCTGTTAGGTGCCCTTAACCATCCTTAGAGACCAATATAGGTGTTTGCTAATTATTCCAGGTATGCTTCGAGCCTCAGTGTAGCCCTCTAATTATTTGTGCTTTAACACTATCAGTTTTGATTCTTTTGTTGAGTTCTTCTGGGATGATTCAAAATGCTGCAGCTTGACTATTCTGTCACTTGCTTTTCAAAATGCACAAATATTTTAAAACACTTTATGCTTTATTAGCAATTTAAACCTGACCTAAGCAGTAAATACATTCATTTATATTAGAATTCGTTTTTCTATGTCTAAGCTTTTATGTCTCATGCAGAAAACGTCAAAGCAGTACTTTGATGAAGTCAAGATTTTAAAGTTATTTTTAGATTTTTTTTTCTTCTTTAAAAAAGTAATATCTTCAAGTCTAGTGAAAATCAGTTTTTTAAGTACAGAAAATGTCAGCCAAACAACACTCCACATGGAAATAACTTGCATTAAAAGACCACCAAAGTTACTAAAATCTAGCACCTATACATGCAAAAATGCTAGAAGTATAGTTACTGGTTCCATAGTTAGCCCTACAGTACATGTTCAGCTATCAATACCTACTTTTAAACACTATTCCTCCCAGCTCTCCCTCCTTTGTATAGACCTGGTAATGGAAAATAAGTGGCAACTTCTCATTATACTCATTATTATAGTGTATCAAACCACTATTTTCTGCAACTCAGTTTAAGTATTTTCCAGAATTTTTTCTTTTTGCACACAGGTTTTCAATGATAGTCATCCTAATGATTGATAAATGTATAATATTTCTTCATAAAAATCTGGCTTTATTTGTTCTGTTTTATGAGTCTTAGAGAAAGTGAGGCAGTAGGAGCTGCTTATGGCTTGGTTGCTATTTTTGTTTAAATTGACCTTGTATACCTTGCTATTCCAAAACTATTTAATGATTTTTTTTTTTAATTCCTGTGGACTGATTTCAGTGGAATTCATGGATTTGATATTTCTCCAAATCAGTTTAAAAATTACGGATTCAAATAAATTAGCCCAGACTCCAGTGACACTTCAGGATTATGTAATTTTCCCATTTTATCGTCAGCCCTTTGGCCAACATTTAGCTTCTTCGTGGCGTTGATCCATATTTAATTAGTTAGGAACTGCAGAAGTCTAAGACATCATGTTAATCCCCAGCTGTCTGTTGTTGTGCTTCTTCACTGTCATTACAGTGAAGTTGTTCAGCAAAAAATTCTCCAACAAACCTATGTACTTGTCCCTACCCATCCTGAGCAAATTTAAGATAGGTAACTGCAGCAGCAGCTTCATGGTGGTTAAGCTAACATCCTAGATTTTGCTCAGAAGCACATAATCTTTTCCAGTGAGTCTGTCACTGGGGCTGAAACTCCTGATGAAGAATAGGGCTGTCACAGGCAGTGCTTCAAATGGCAGCTCTAACACTTGCAATACTGTACTGACAAGACCTTCAGCCACAAGAATATCCATTCTTCATCCATCTGCGGTTTGCAGACTTGCTTATTATAATTACATCAAAAAGCAAACTTTCTTGTTTCATTCTCCTTAAAAGATACACTCTCCCTGATTAATAAAAGATTTGTGTGCTCTTCAAAAAATCAACACACAGAACTTAAAATAACAATAATCATATAGAAAGTTGGAAATTTAAACTTGAAATGTCAGCCTTAATTCTTACTTATGTTAAAAAACAAGCAATTGATTTTACATTTCAGTTAATGTCCTTTTTCACAGAGGTTATAACATAATCTTCAATAATGAGACAAAAAAAAAAATCACAGTGTGGAACTACATTAACTCTGAAATGGTCTTTTTATCTTCCAAGCAGGAAAAGGCAGGCTCCTTGCCAGTGAGCTTCACAAATATACCTTGAAAGCTGAGTCTGAATGATCAGGGTTAAAGCCCACTTTCTAAAGAGTAGATACTCTGGCAAGATGCATTTGGCACGTCTTGGACAACTTTTTACACATTATTATGCTGCTGTACACACTTGCCATAAAACGTCTAACTTACTTTCGTTCTTTGACTCTTTATATTTCAAAACCAGTGAGATTTCATGGCCAATCATACATTGTAAGGCATTTATGTTAAAGGAAACTGAATGAAAATTTGTTTCAGGCTTCTTTTGCTATTTTGTCAAGGATCATAAAGAAATACGTGTCTTGATTTACAAAATACTGCACTATGTGATGAACTCTGCGCTTTCACTACATGATTTCTTTCATTTGGTCCTTTTTCATTTTATGAGACTTAGAAAGGTTACAAATAAATAATTTGAGTGACAAGGACTTAAACTTTGGGTACATATAGTTGCAGTACTACTTTTATGAGGTTAATTTTTTCTGTGTTGACATTCAAGTTTATCGCTTACAGAGTAATTGTCCAAAATACAGAAACAAATGTCATGGTCCTCCCTGACTGAGCAGTTTCTCATACCTAGAAACAGAAGTACTGTAAACTGTCTTAACTGAAAAACCTTTAAGTACTGACATCTGACATCTCACATGTTTATGACTGCAAAGAAAAACTTAATCACATTAAAACAAATCTGGATGCACTGTCAAGCAAGAAAATGTCAAGTTACAACTGTATGAGATTAAAGGATTGGTGATCTTGCTGCAAGAACATTGATTAAATATTATATTTTAAAACAGATTTTGCCTTTTCCTTGCTTACTACATACTATTACTACTAGGTAACAGTAAAATCTACTTAACAGTACAGAAGTTTAAGCGATAGACTACAAATTAGCCTTTGATCAGTATACAGTGATTTCTTACGCATCTTATGATAGCATAAACCCTTCATCTTTTTAGAAAATACCTGTGGCCATAGAATTTTGGAAAAAAGATGAAGGGGAATGCATAAGAAATGCAGGTCGACTTAGAAACAAAATCCAAACTTCAACCCCTACAATTCAGGTTATGGGAAGTCCAGACATGACCTGAACACAGATTTCACAAAGATAAACAAAACACTCTGTTTTGCCTTCTCTTTGCTTTCTAACTCACCAGACATTAGCATGAAAGTATTAGCAGTTACGGAATATAAGTATTTTTCATAAATTGAACACATTTCAATTGAGATACATATGAACTTTTTTCTTTTTTGAAATCTGACTAAAGACAATGAAAAGAAATTGGTGAGATTCTGCATCTTCTCAAAACAACTTTATTATGCCTCACTTCTTCATTAGCTGTTCTAGCTGCATGTGTTATTAACCAAGTGACCCATATTTCATCCTTGAAAGAGCAGAGTTACTTAGGAAAAAGCTCTCATTATCAATCAAATCATTATAAATCAAAGTACTTATAAAGAATCAGTGATTGCAAAACCATTTAAAGAAAAACACTAAACTTCCTTATGATGTTACTGCAGTACCTGTACAGCATAATTTATTATAGAACTTCAAAAAATGTGTCTTTGAAGAAGCTCTAAAGAAATAATCATACCATGTTGATCCATATAATATACACGTATTCTATATAAAAAAATGTGTGTGTGTGTATATGGGCACACATCATATCCACACACAGAGATACACATTGCCAAACGTAGTCTTTATCTTTAAAGGTATTCATTCATCTTATTTGGGGATAATTAAAGGCAAGGGGAATTTACCTCAATATTTGTAATGACCATTTTTCTGACAACATAAGCAATTGTGCAGTCTTCAGAGTGGCATCTGACACGGAAGCAGCCATATTCCATGACATCTGGTGGATCAGGCCAGTACTGATGACATTTGGTCTGTAAAGACAATTAGGCACATGTCAAGATTGCTGTATACAAGGCCTTCCGTTTCCAACCTTCCTTCCTATGTTGTGGTTCAGGGAACTCCAGGAGTGGTACAAAATCTGTTTCAGTTTGCTGGTGAGATTTGCCTCCATCCAAATTGAAAAATAACAGGACAAAATAGCCTAAGTTCTCCATAAACTTCTGCTTTAGGGATTTAAAATAAATATTCAGGTAAATTAGAGGCATGATGCTTTGTCTGCTACTTTCTTAATTGCTAGAATGACTTGTCGTGGCATAATGTGGGAGAATAAAGATGGATTTCTTCTGTCTTAAGAAGTGCAGGGGTTAAATTTGAAACTAACTTTATCCATCTAATAGCAGGTTACAGAAAAGGAAAAGCCACACTTTTCTGAAAGTGAGCAATGAAAGGACAAGAGGCAACTGTAAAGAAGCAACAAGGGAAATTAGGACTGATGTTGGCAAAAAAATTCCACAAAGAAGGACAAGCACAGAAACAAGGTCTGTGAGAGTGTGGGATCTCCACATGTGAAAATAATTAAAATTTTGATGTGACACTGTAACCTGCGCAAAGTTCAAAGTTATTTTTGTCTGTAACTTTTAAATTGATACAGAGTAGCACAAGCTGGAATTTTTTAAAAGTTTTAAATTTCTTAATTTTACCTTTAATAGAACTCAGTTTTCAGAGGCTTGAAATCCAGATTATAACCATTATGCCTGAAAGTTTTACTGTGGTTTATCTTAACCACTTTCCCCTTCAAATTTAAGGCAAAACAATGTATCCATTTCTGAAAAAATGAACAGTACTGTAGAGAAAAAAAAAATCCTATCATACAAATCTTAACACCATTGGAAAGAGATAGTCTGGAATGTAAAACCTCCATGGACTAGGAAAACATTTGGAATTTGCCAATGGAGAGATTATTGACAAGAACATACATCTTTTTCTACGTCTGAAAGTTCACCCACAAACTGGGCAAGTTTAAATAATTTCTGAAAGCAAACAAATCTCATAAAAGTGTCTGGCATACTAAGGCACCAGCAGGCTGATTAAAAGTTATCAATAATTGCCTTGAAGTTTCCAATTGACTGTATGAACTCCAGACTACTATTAATCTGTGTTTCTCCTCAATACAAGGAAATGAATACACCAATACAATCAAAAGATGAAGGGAGCATTTTTATGTCAGCTGATGTTCAATAGTGTCTGCTTCTACGAGCAGCTACATAACATGACCATGGTTAGAGCCTAATTGTTGCTTAACTGTACCTCCTTACATCTCAATCTTTATGCTGCTTAAGACTTAAAATACTCCCTTGTTTTCTAAAAACACTGGGTTTTGACTGGGATGCCAGATAAATTTGGCAATGTAGGACAGATCACATACAAAATACAGATAAAGGCTACAGTGAAGGAATACAGGAGACACCACCTTCTCCACGTCTTAAAAAATCCAACTGTCAAGTTTTCAGTTTCTAAAACTTCAAAACCAATACCTTCCCATTTTATCTAGACTTAATCTTTAATATTACAAAGGACAAACTAAATCAAAATACACCAGAATTTCACTGTGCTATTCCAAAATTCAAGGAGAGAGAGAATTAATCTAAAAATAATTAAAAATGATCAAAGCAATTATAGGAAGGAAAAGGAGATGTAAATAAAAATAAGCAAGCTAAATTCTGACCACTAGTAGATACCACAATGGCAGACTCATTTTTACAGCTAGACTATAAGGTTTGCTCAACCCATTCAGTGCTTCCAGACATTTGCTGAATCTTTTGAAGAGAAACTGCCACATGGAGGCCAATACTCAGGGAGAAATATAGCAGGGCATAGTACCCATCTGACCAGCACAACAGAGTGAATGCAGATTTCTGTTTATCAGGAAGCTGGTTTGTTTGCAAAGCAGCATAACAAAAAGGAAGTTGAAGACTATCTGCTGTGTCTAAGTAATTCAGAAAGCCTGGCCCTCAGAAGAATAATTCAACAGAAGAAGTTTGCCCTTTTTATGGTTATTTAACCATAACAATTGAAAAAAGTTCAAAGGTACAGTACATTTCTTCAGCATACAAAGGACCTGGGTACTTACCCGTCCTCGTTCAGTGAGAGTTGTTAACATGATGATCAGTGATAATTTGTGATCCCAGACTACTTGCCAGAAGTGTGCACATGTGTGTGGAAGAGGCCCCTGAGTAGCAATGTACCGGTTCACAATGCCAGCAGAAGGAATTTCCATCTACAGAGGGAAAGAAAAATCCTATGTTAAGTTCACACTCACTACTCAAGTACTTTTTTAACTCGGTGTTTCATTCAAACAGGAAGTTTTGAGGGAAGATTAAGGCAAAAAGCTAAGTAGTAAGACAATCAAGATTACAATTTGTTATATAAAAAAAATTTATATCATTAATTTCAAACAGATGTAAAGCACAGATTCTATAGTCCATGCTGAACTATGAGCAGAGGATTAATAGTCAAAATGTACTTGAAAAATTAAAACTATAAAGCTTTCTATATTTTGTAAGGAATGATGGCAGGGTATATACACCAAAGGTATAGCAAAAATTGTTTATTTGTCTGATACTAAATACAGGAAGTTAATAACTGATTCTGTAATTTAGGTACTTAGCTTATGTATCTGATAGAAATATATACACATTTTCCCCTCTTTTCCCTGACTCCCAGACTACATGTGATTGACGAGGGAAATCAAGGCTCTAATTTATCTTCTGGATCCTTCATAACATAGCTGGTAGGTCATAAGTGGTTCTAGAGGGAAAAAAGGCTTAGTTTCATGGAGACAACCTCAGAATTTGAATTATATGGAAAAATGAAACAATTTTTGCAGGTTAAAGACTGTGCATATATCACAGTGTATCACTACATGGTAGCACCCACCGTGTATTAGGACAGTTACCTGTTTCACAACAGATGCTATTTTTTAGGTTGTGAAATTTTGCATCTTTCACACTTACAAATCCCACAAATTAAAACAAAATATCCTTATTCCCCAAAAAAGACAAATTTTGTCTGCTTTAGTAATATAGAAAGTGAGTAAATGCAGGTCTCTGTATGACTTACATTCACATAATTTGCATTAATGTAATCTTCATCTCCTTGCAATATTATCCTTGTGGCATCATCTGCACACACACAAGAAAGAGGGAATAAAATTAGCAATTAAGAGACATACTCCCCCTCTATTAAGTTAAAAAAACCAAAACAACAAACTAAGAAATTGTAGAAACACAAACAGCAGAATACAAACAGAATAAATTATGTTTTAGAAAATAAAATGACCAATTACATTACTTCAATTATATAATGAAATCTTTAATCAGCAAGTTCAATACAGCAGTTTTAAAAAGAAAAATAGGCAGAAACTATATTTTAGACTCACAAGGTAGAACATCTTTGTATCTATTCTTGTCCATATTCTGAGGTACCTTTGCACATGTAACAGCCAATCCTGGTTTCTTTCTATAAAGTTGCTGCAAAGTAGAATGAAAATTATAGGATTTTGAGGGATGTGATTCTGCTGTACACACACTAATTACATTCAGACAAAAATACATAGACTGAAAAAACCCCCATATTTTCTTTAATGTTTTTCCTATCCTTCTGCAAAATTTACTTGAGAGGTTTTTGTATTTAACATGACAAGAATTTCTACTAATGTTAGCCAATTAGGATAGCTAGAAGAATTTCTAGGAAAAAAACCAAAAACAAAAACAGCATGTGAGCATCATTGAAATATACTGTTGCTCTGCAATTTTGTGTTTTGATTTTAAAACTACAGACCAGAAGGACAACAGTGGTTGAGGGTGGAACAAGGGAACAGTGAATGCATCAGAACAAAAAAAAATACCTGCAGACTTATTCTCTGGAATAAACTATAATACAAAAATTTCAGAAAAAAATTTATTCTCAGGACTAAACCTATCCATTTCAATCCTGCAAGTACCTAAAAACCCAAAACCTCAATGTATCACAATTTCTTAACATGTGACTTCTTTGCTTTTGGGCCAACCACTATGTTGCAGACTTTATCTGGAGTAAATTTGGACATATGAAATGGGATATATATAATGTGTGTATAATCAAAATTTTGAAGTTGGTGTTAGGTAAATAAATGGTTGGACTCTATGATCCTGGAGGTCCTTTCAAACCTTAATGTTTTTTGTTTCCAAGTGCATCAAACAAGACAAAAAAAAAAGGCACAGAGGGGGAAAAACAACAAGGAAAAAAAACCCCCAAAAAACCCCAAAACAACAACAAAAAAGAAAAAAATACCAAACAAATCCACAAGAATTGTAATTAAACAACTATAGCTTTTGTGTATTAAATGTACATGAAAGCACCTTACAACTGAGTTATTAATCTGCCTGTGCCAGAATTTTACATCCTTCACTGAACACTTACCAAGGACCTCATTATGTCTTACATGTTTAATGACGATTTTGAATATTGTTCCATATATAAAATGGAATGAAACAAATAGGTGGCTAAAATCCCCTATTTTCTGATTGAGAGAAAAAGAGTGACATACAAAAATAATTTTTCTACTGAGATTTGTTGGACCTTAAAATGCTGTATCACAGCTCACTGCGCTTTTCAACTTATACAACATAAACAAGCCATGTGAGAAGAGAACTTGATAATAGATGTAATGGAAAAACGTCTATCTGTTGTAAATGAAGTTCCACTTTACTAGAGCCAGGTTGCAATTTCTGCCTTTTTTAGGAAGACAAGGAAGAATAATTTTAAGTCAAGTAACCATTCTTGAGATTCATTGTTGCCTGGCAAACATCCATTTGCTACTGACAAACTTCTTAACTTCTGACTAAATGGAGGAAGATATTCTGGAAAAACTTGATTATTCAGTCTACTGGCTAATTATTTACTACTTTACTAAAGTGAATGAGGAATTTGAGTCACCAAAGCTGATGAGGAGACACTGCCATTGCCTCTGCTGCTGAAGATCACTAAACAATGAACTCAAAGCAAGAAGGCCACTAAGCTATCCCCTAGTTTATTAGATTTCAAAAAGCTTTTGTGCTTTTTTTTCTGTAAAATTGTTCTATAAACAGTGCCATAAAAAAGCATAAAATACAGGATCAAATATCCTATGAATATCAGAATATCATATATCAGAATATCATAAAGGATAAAATATCCTATGAAATTCACTACAGGAAATTTGTGCACAAATTTACTTCACAAATTTGACAATTATGAAAGTATTGCAAGGTCAGTTCACATTTCAATACACTCTTCAATAGCAAATAACTTAATTGTAATTGCTGCGTTTCATCCAGTACTGTGGATTTTGGAAAGCAGTTATGAACTATTGTCTATAACTCCTTAAAACCAGGGGAATTTTAATTCTCAGGAGTCATAGAAATAAAGGAAACCTCATACAAAGAGTGGTTATGCAACAAACAATACCACAGCTCTTCAGCCATTACCATTAAATTTTCCAGCTTTAAAAAAACAGTGGAGAAAAATATTCAAAGGAGAAAAAATTTATTGCTGTTCTACAAGTTTTCAGTGACAGAAGGGGTTACTTCAGAACTCAATGCAAATTTTAAAAATCCTAATAAACTAGGTTTTTTTTCAGAGCTACTATAAATGTTTGAATTTACAACAGTAAGGCAACCACAAACATACATGCTGCACTCCTTGCCATTAGGAAAGCAGATGAACTATCCTTTGGAATTTCTTACACTAACACTGAAGGAACTAATTTAATAAAATATAAAAGAGTTTATTAGTTTTCTATGACCTTCCTTGCTAACACATTGAAGAGCATAAAAAAAGAAACAAAGTACAAGACTGATCTCTGTCAAAATCCCACTAATTCTACTCAGTAAAACAACTGTAAAAAAATACTAATTTAGTGAACTTTGAGTACTTGAGCCAGAAACATATTAATGGAAACAACCTTTTTCTCAGATGGTGTTTTGTGTAAGTCTTAAAACTAGTTCTCCCCTATTCTAAGTAGTGAAGTGTGAAACTGATGGGCAAGTCAAATTGTTGCTCTCTTGAGATAAGATTGAACAGGAACAAAGAGATTTGCAACTAATTACAACCCCTCCATTACTCTCTGGTTACAGCTATTGTCCTACACTAACAGCATTACACAGTTGGGTATTACCTACCTCAAACTGAATAAGGACAGTCCCACTTTCTAGCCCTCTTCTTAACTGCTCCATAGACTCCTCCAGTGTATCACCACCATATTCAGAACAGACAGGAAGAATAGACTCTGGCAGAATGTGGGAATCAGCTTCATCTTCTGATTTGGTCTCCACAAACTGTTTAACTACTGAAAGATGTGTATGAAGTTATAATCCATTACATGGAGCACAAATGTGTTTTTAACAGATATAAAAATTTACCAGCTCAAAATAACAACAGAGTTTGCAAAACTTCAGAAAAGGAAATAACACATTTAATCACATTTCTTTCTGTACTATATTACTATAGAAACTATAAAGAGTAAAATGTCCCTATGACCTTTCTGAAAGAAAACCTCCAAATACCTGTTTATGAAGGCAAAGAACTTGAATTCCTAGCACAAGGAGGTTTTTGCAACCTTGTCTTACAGAATGAACTGCTAAAAAGGCTAATGAAATACAACATCCACCATGGTAAAAAACAAGCGAGTTTTACCTAAAAAAAGTGTAGATCATAATTAGTGGATTATCTCTACAAGAAACTTCTATAAATTTGGACCTCCAACAGCAAAACAAATGCAAAAATCCCTTCATCACACTCCTTTGCCATTAGAAAAGACACAGAATTATTGTTTGCAAATTCTTATGCTAACATTGAAGGAACTAAAGATGAAAATAATTATTAGTCAGTTTTCTACAACATTCCTCACTACTGAATAACATGATAAACATTAATGAAATAATCTGCATAGCAGTTCTGTCCCTATGAAGTGTATCACCAGACATGTCCAGCTGTGGTTATTCTCTGCAGTGAAGGCAACAGTTCATACCTGCCAAACTTCAGAAAATGGGGAGCTGGTTATGCTCACGCCTATAAAAAATGACTGGTATGGGGCCACAGGTCATCTTTAGACAAAAGCAGATTTCTCTTATCTGCAAGTTGGAAGAGGACTAGAAAATTAAGGAAAAACTAAATGCTGCATAAAGCCAGTGGAAAACAAAATAAAGAGCCCATCTGTCTTCTTCGAAACACAAGAAGTTTTAAATAAAGCCAGTGTTACAGAAGTACCTATCTCTTAGGCTGTTTCATTCCCTGCTGTTTCCTAGTGATGCGTAGTTTCTTCAGATTTTTATGTCTTCATGCAACCAGAAACTCCGTAATTGTGTAATTGTGCTAATGTCTTACCGTACCTCTTTAGGAAAGCAAATAACAAATTAAGAGTTTGACATCATCTGAAAGCTCTTGGGATCTACAGGTGCTTAAATATGGAGAAAGCAAAGACAAGCTGGATGAGTTACCCATTTTTAAGCATCCAGGCTTAAGACCCTGCACATTTCAAAGACTGTCTCCTCTTTGCAGGCAGCAATTCTGCAAGCAACTAGCACAAGTTTATCACAGTACTGCCACAAATGTCTACTGTAAGAATGAGGTGAGGAGCAGCTTATTTGGCTTGTTTCATCACGTTATTGTGCAGGGGAACAGCCCACAAGTTTTTGTGAATATGCAATTGGGAGATTTTAAAATTACGCTTTATTTATGAAAAAACCCCAACACCCCACATCACCAAAAAAACTCTTTCAAGGGACAATTTATTTTCATAGATTTTTAGACCAAAAAATAAGAAGAAATTCTGACTTGCTAGATTCTTTGTTGCAATGGTAATAACCTATAGAGTTGAAAATACTTGTACTACTAATACAAATTTATTGAGAACCTACTTTTTGCACAGACCTATTCCAAGTGCACTGAGAACATGTTTATGCAAACAGAAGTGGGTATACCACCAAGCATAAGAACAACAGTCTCAAAAACAATAGAAGTGAATAAAATTAGCCCAGTTACCTTTCCTCCTGACCAAAAGTGCAAGCTCTCTTGTGTGAGATTCTCTGCTGGCTTTTATGAACATGACCACCTGGTCATGCGTGTGCTCTGAGATATCTCGGCCATTAATTAATACTATCTGATCACCTTCATTCAGCTTTGGAATGCATTTATCAGCCTGTTACAAGACCAAAGAAACACATTAATGTCATCACAACCAGTTGGGCAAGCAGGAACATAGCAGGATATTAAGTACACCGTGTAAGCAAAGTCTTCACAATTCTCCTGACAAAGTTTCATGTTCTGTATCAGAGTCTGAAGGTTTCAGCTCTAAAGCTCTCACGCTTCAAAGTCTCTCCACGATGATAAGGAACAGTTCAAACAGCATACTGATAGCTTTAAAAGGAATTCACATTAATCAAACAGCCATCATCATTTTGATTGCTCTCAAAGATCTGTATTTCAGACTCCAGGCCTCAACAACCTCTGAATTTCTGGAGAAAGTGTTTTGGGCACATATGATAATCCAACTCACTTTTTACGCAGTAAATACTAGAGAAGTATGATTTTCATGAACATGATTTAACTAACATGACATTCCCCAGGCATGCACTTTTTAAATTTAAAAAAAATCCACACACATTTCCTATCTTTGTTATTTCGCAGAGTCTTGTTTATATTTAGATTAACTGTTGGACTCCAGGGTTTGGTTATTGGTTTTTTTTCCATCACCATTCTCAGTATGTTTAGCCCTATGTCCAGCACAAAGCAATTGAAGCTATGACCAGAATATGATGATGGTGATAATGCTACAAAGATTTCTAAGGGACTAGAGCAGCTCCTGCATGAAGGAAGGCTGAGAGAGCTGGGATTATTTAGGATAGAAAAGAAAAGTCTCAAGGGGATCTTGCAATGTACATAAATACTTAAGGGGAAGGCACAGAGAAGATGAAGTCAAACTTCTCAGCAGTGCCCAATGACAGGATCAGAGGAAAAGGGCTCAGACTGAAACACAGGAGGCTCCATTCAAACATCAGGAAACACTGCTGTGGTGACTGAGCACTCTAGCAGCTTGTCCAGAGATATTGTGGAGTTCCCACCTTGGAGCACTCAAAAGCCATTTGGATATGGTCCTGGGCAACTAACTCTAGGTGACTCTTGAGCAGAGGGGATTGGACAAGAGGACCTCCAGGACCCTTCCAACCTTCTGTGGTTCTTTAACATGAATGTGTAGCAGTCTACAATCTTTAAGTGTCAAGTAATCCAACAATTTTATTTTCATTACTATCCTAATCTTTGTCTTTGTAAGCCTCCAGCTACACAAGAGTGATATATATATATATATATATGAACACTTAATTTCATTTATTGTGTGACTGAGACATAGGCCTTTACTGTTTTATGTCTTCATTGGTGCTCCTTTTATTTCCTTAATAGCCAGCACAGGTTCCCTGAGCTTTATTCATCCAACACCATTAGCCCTACCAATCAACCAATCCCCCATAAACAAGATATTAAACTTAGATCCGATTGTGATTATGTCCTGCACTGATGGCTCCTAATAAATTGATATTACCAACTAATAAATAAGAGATGTAAAGGAGAAATTATAAAGAAAAAAAAAATCAACTAGATAAAAAATGCAGAATAAAAAAATAGAGGCAAGAATATGAAGAAAATTAATTGGGAGTCATTTGTACCATCAAACAAAGTTAAAGAAAAGGAAACTTAAGACCTGTTTTAGTGCCACAAAACAGAAAAAGAAGAAAAAGAAGCAAGAGAAAAGAAAGATGCATGCAAGAGGAAAATATCCCATGCAGAAAAGCTGACTAAAAATTTAAAGAAGGAAAAGTTGCCCTCAACTTTTTCCATAGAAATAAGGAAAGAAAATAATGAAGGATAGGGAAGATTGACAACGATTTATAAGAAATGTAAACAGAAAAAGAATGGGAATTAGGAACAGCCATGATGTTCTTCAATGCTGCTTTAACTAGGCATTCACAGCTCCCCAAAAACACCTGTGCCATATTTTGTTCAATTTACAAAGGCAGGACTGAAGAATGTAACTATGAACGACTGGATAATTTAATCACACTTAAATATTATTAAGTTATTTTCTCTCAAATATAAATACTTGAAAAGATAGGTGATATTAAGACCCTATCAAGTCAGTCTAGGAGAGTCAAGATGTCAGCAAGAACTTGTAAGCAATGGTTTCTGAGCTCCTATATTTGCCTATACTCTAGATTTCTTGGCTGTCTGCTATTAGTCTCTATTACAGATGTAGACTAATGCCTTTGCTCAAACAAACTTTGTTAATCATGTGATATGTTAATGCATCAGCCTTCTTATTTGAATCATCTGACTATATAAAATATATCTCAAAGAAGAATTAATTCCTCCTGTGCAAGCACATGTTATAGATTCTTCAGAGTCTGAGCTTTTCCAGGCAATTTATTATGTCAAAGGCTCTCTGTCCTATTGATACACACAATGTGTCATTTTATGCTAATCACCTTCTATTGCTCCAAGAAGCATGAATACTTTTTTCCCATGACAAGCCCTATTAAATAAAATCTTAATGATCTCTTTAGCACCTGAGAGCATTAATACTATTTGTGAAAAAAAAAAAATCTTTATAGAACTTTAATTAAAAAAACACCCTAAAACAAACAAATGTAATAAATGGTTGTTCCTTCACGAAAATGTGCTCTTTACAAAAATTTTGGCTACTCCAGACTACAATTTGCCCCGCATGCTACATTGCTGCTTTATTAAAGGATTTTTTTAGAAAGAACTTTAGGATGCGTAAATGAAAATGCTACCTTAATTTGGGGAGTAGATTTGCTTCCCCTCCTCTACAAAAATTGCACATCTTTTTCTAGGAAAGTGGGAAAAGGGTGACCTACAAACCTGAGATATAATCTTAGCAAATAATAACACCAAATAGCATCCCTGAAGGCAATTTACAGAGTAGTAAGTGAATCTAGAGCACGTTAAAATAGCAGAAATGAAGGTAAAGCATAACTGAGCTAAAATAACATCAAAATGCATTCCATACACCTTAATTTGAACTTTGAAATATCTACATTTCAATGAACAGTAAAGAACAGGTAAAATTTTCTTTATGGAAAAGAATATAATCAATGTTTATACTGCTGTTCTCTAAAAATAAGGATATTATTTTCCTCTTGCTATAACATGACTTGATTTCCCTAAAACTGCTACTGAGTATATTATATTGGATAACTGTTTCCAATTTTTTTCTGTGATCCTGGTAACTTGCTCACTTGATGGTTTACTAGGCTGGAGAGATAATTGATCCATGCCTATGACACCAAAGGGAGACATTTCAATGAAGTGTTTTAAGTTAGAAGTCCAGCCCTTTTTCCATTCAAGAGAAAAAAAATACAGATCAATAGTATCCAGAAGACCATCTGAATCTGCCAAATGAAATGACTGCCTCTGGAGAAAGATCTTTCATTCTCTGATAGCAAAATCTGTTTGCCCTATATAATTTCAGAATCTCAAACCATCCTTAATATTTGCTAGGTTGACCATGAAATATCTTGGGGACTGTTTTATTTTCAATTCCTAGATGTAAGTTATAATTTCTTGCCAAACATTCTTTCAAATAATTATTATAGTTCATAAAGAAGTGCTATGAACTGTGTAAGACAGGCCAAAATGTGACAAAAAAATAAGTTCTCAAGCAATCTGTTTTAGCTTGATTTGCATCATGACATTTAGATATCAGTCCTGTGACTGCTTATCAAATTTCAGAATAGTCAGAAGATTCAGAGTGCATTGTATTTTTAGGATTAAGTCAGTAATATTTCCTAACAATTCCGCATTGAAAGCATTTCATGAGAGTTAGGAAATATAGTTTGAAAAAAGGCAAATGAAAAAAATGGTATAACATTTGTCCTCACAAATTTATGTAATAATTACATAGAAAAAAAGTTTTAAAATATTTTATATTCCTATTATCATTTCACAATTCAACACAAGAACTCAATTACTCTACTGATTCTTATAAACATCTCACCTAGTCTATAAATATTTCCGTAAGCAAAAAGTCTATATCAAAATAGGAACAGAACAAACATACACCCCTCTCTCTATGCTCACTCTCTCCTTCCAAGTACTCTCTAGTCCTATAACTAATTTTAGTCCTAAGGATTTCCTCAGCCTATTGTGGCTTCCTTAGTCAATAACAACAGGTTTTTTCCCCCAAGTATTTGCTCTTTCCTCACCACACACAAAATTATTTCAACCATAGCATCCTTTTTCAAGGAGTTTCACGGGTGTACTCTCTTCTGCGTGAAAAACTACTTCTCCAAACACGAGGAACCTGACCTTCACAAGCTTAATTTAGTAGTTCATACTTCTGCTGGAATTCCTTTTTCACAGTGCTTCTAATCTTACAGATCCCTACTATATCTCCGTCAAACCAGCTATTTTTTTCTAGGGTGCAGGTGCCCAAATGATTTACTTCATCAATAAATAATGTTCCTTATCTGCAGTCCTTGCCCCTCATCAAGCATTTTCCAGTTCAGGATGCACTTTTTGAGATGACAGGAGAACACAAATATACTTTCTACTTTTAACTTGTTTGACTAACTCTTACAGATCTTTTAATCTCTGGTTTAAGAAACCACTGGTTAAACCAATTCCTAATGAGAACAGCTCTGTTGCTATCTCATACTAGTTACAGGTACCCCAATTTCTATGTGCACAGAGCTTTGAGAGGTAGAAGGAGTAACAATGGAAGAGATTAAAAGCCTCAAGAATTTACTTACAGGTGATCCTGGAGTTATTCTTGATACCACCAGTGGCATTTTCTGATCTACTCCACCCTACAGGAATGTCAAATAAATAGCAACCATAAATCTATCATTAAGCGTAAGCAGCATTTAAAATAAGTACTTGCTTATTTTTCTTTTTATATTAATTTTTTTGTGCTGTGTCATCATAGGCAGGGTTGGTAGGACTGAATTTTCATCATTAAATGGGGCATTAGGGGGTGGGCAGTGGTGTCTTTAAAATCTACCAATTTCCAGTAAACTAGATTAGGCGTCTCTTTCAGGCCATACATTTTAATAGGCATAAACAGATAAAATATAACATTTATTGTAACCCCGTGCTTGAAGCAAGACTAATTTAACACTTGAACCTGCAAGACAGTTTTCTAAGATTTTGTGACAAATGTGAGTGAAATCTAGTAGAATCAAAGTTCCAGACAATTGTACTCCCTTACTCTCCTCACATCACATTCAGTTGCTGCCCCACTAATAAATAGCCAAGGGTGAAATGACCAAACTCTGCTCTAATTTTGATAGGATAGCAAATTTACGGTACTCTGCTTAAAAGGAATTTCAGTGAGTGAATGTAAAACATTTACAATGGTCAATTATCAATAGTAATTTTCATTTTCTTCATAAATTAATTTTTAAATTTTCAATACAATTTCTAATAGATATAATTAAATGGAGCAGCACAAACTATTTAAATTGTTTTATAATACAGAGGTCAAATTTTCCAAAAGTTGATGCCTTCAATTAGGCTTTTGAGTTAATATTTCAGCAGCCAAATGTGCAGTGTGCCTTGGGTACGTTCCATGTCCAAAATATATACAATCAAAAACCAGAGAATTATTAGATGCTTATTTCTGTAAATGTTGCTTTAGCACTTAAGGATTAGGCTGCCACTTCTAAAAACTCTCAGTCTATAGGTCATTCCTGTAAAGTATACTGCTTTCTCCAAAACATTATGTTAAAAAAATATAATCACAAAATAATAAAAAAATATATCCATAAAGAATTTAAAAGTAATTAAAAGACAGCTGGTTTACCTTTAGATTAAATCCAAACTTCCCTTCTTCATCTGGTATGATACGCACCAAAAGTAAATCTCCCTCAATTAGATCATTCTGCAATATATAGCAATGGAAAGAAAATGTTCTCATTTTTAGAAGAAAATATCAGCAAATTAGGAAACCATGCTTCCAAATTTAGATGTGCTGAACAAAAATACTCTATGTAAATCCACCTTTGAAACATGACGAGGATATGTTTGTAGAATATACCTATGGTAATAACCATTTTACCATTTTAAAAGGTAATAACTTTTAAAGAGTAAAAATAGCAATGTAGATCTCAGCAAATATTTTTTGGTTGCTCTGTCCTAACATCATTACTCTTATTTTAGCTTTCCTTCCCAATTGATAAATCCCGTTACAGTTTCAACCTGTTGTCATTAAAAGCTGAGGTGCAACACATGAATAGAATTGATTCTACTCCAAGAACTGTGAAGTGACTATTTTCCCCTTGACTTTTCTCCTTTAAATAGGTGTATTTTTACACAACAGATCCACAAGGCAGAAGAATTAAAAGGTGTCAGCAGCTAATTGACATGTTGGAAATGATAGAACTATTTTAACTAATTTTAATTAGTTGTTTTAATTAATTGTAAGTGCCCACTTTAGCCAGAACCCCTCTGGAAGTCCCTCTGGAACAGGCTGGGGAAGAATAATCCACTACCATAATGTTAGCAGGGAGCAGCTGCTCTCCAGCCAGGACCGATGGATGATGCTCAAACATCCTTAAGAGACGCCTAGGATAAAGCACAGTTGTGTCTGCTTTTCAGACATATAGCAACTTGAGTTAGCTGATCTTTTCCCTTGGAAGAAGCAAGATTTAATCATGTAAGGGTTTCTATTCCACTAGGAGCTTCCCCTGAAGCTTCTGGAAAGCTGGACACTTTGGAAATCAATGCACTTGGTAAGCTTGTCTATCACACAAGCTTGGATAAATGTGAGTAGCAACACAAGATCTATTTTCATTACTGAATAAAATCTGCCCATCCTGATATACAGCCACCACTTCTGTGCATTCTCAAACCACAGATCCAAGTCACATTCACTACTAGTTCTGACTGTAAAAGCACACAACTGAACATACCTTATCACAGTAGTACTGACTGGAATCTTCTGTTGAGCTACCTTTTGTAACGTTGTCATACGTTTCTAAGAACTGCTTATCCACCCCTTCCAACGGGTAAGAGCCAGAAATGTTTCCGACTCCATTGGGATACTGAGCCAAGGCTTTAGGTGAGAGACGGGTCAGAGAACTCTGCGTCGGACTGTTTCCCAATATGTTCCTTTATTTTGAAAGGATAAATATTACAAAGGTACTGTTATCCAGATTTTTAAATTATAAGATTTTTAAAAGTGCAAGTTTTTAAGAGTAAAAAGATTTAACACCACTTCTTAGTGGAAGTGCAGGGAAACAGGATTGGAATGTGATCTAAGCCTATCCTTTGATCAGTGGACATCCAGAAAAATAGACAAAAATTCTGGAATAGCAAACCATTTTAAGCAAAATATTTGGATGTTAGAAGTGAAAGGCACTGTTGCAGCAGTACAGGAATTCACAGTAACACATGGAGAGGGCTGAACCACAAGGGAAAGGCAATTCTATCCATGAAAAATCTTTTGCTGCGATGCCACTCTCATACCTGCAAAGCACTTTTTTTTTGTTTGTTTGTTTGTTTTAAGACTCCTCCTTCTTACAAGTGCCATTTCAACCTTATCCCTGTGGGAGAAGGCAGTTTAAAGAAAAGCCAGGGTAAGTTGTCAGAGAAATAGGAAATGAAGTGACAATGAAAGGTTTAATTGCAGTTGAAGTATTGCATCATTGAGGTAGTTATAGCCACACAAAAGGACTCAGAATTAACTTAGGGTACAGATCTGGTATTCAAGAGCTTTAACATTCAATGATAACTAAAGTCAGTAACTAAAACCCTTAAATCTGGGAATTGGAAAAGTTCCCTGACGGTGCTTCAGGTTTTCCAAACATTCATTTAGCTACATTCCCTCTTATGAAAAGGATGACATGCAGACCTCTCCCTCATACAACCAATCCCCTTCTTTAATTGGACCAAATTAGTGGATATCATACAGACTAACTGCTCCATCCTTATAAACACTACCTAATGTGAAAATATCTGTCTTGGGGGAAGCTCAGGTATAGTGACAACAAATTTTGACAGTGTTAAAGTAGCAGAAGTACATTTCTTGCCAAGTAAATCTTGGCTTTAAAATTTGTAAATTCAAACATTCATTTCTGCTTTGGTATTTGTCTACATATGTGAGCTTTTTTGAACCATTTCCAGCAGCCATTTTGAGCTGTCAATGAAGAAGTAATTCTACACTCCAAGGAGTGTAGCTTTTAACGTACAGGACCTGTATTGCAGTGAGCTTCGATATTGCAAACACTTGTTTCTTGGCCTGTGAAAATCAGATTGCAACAAACACAAATGTCCTGAAAGACGCCATCAAGCAAATGTACTCTTGCCATAATACTTCTGATTTTCAGTTGGACTATGTCTACTTGGCAATGGCAATGAGGTGTTTCATGCAACAGTTGCAGAATTTTCAGTTACTACAGAAAGTGGCACTTTCTGAATGCATTCGAAGTTTCAGAATACTTTGAAGTAGCAAACAATAATTACACTGTCAAAATTCTGGTTTTATCTAATAGCTTCCAAGACTCTTCATGATTCTGATGAAGTCAATGTTAAGCAAGTAGGAGCACTGTGTATGTAAATACATCCTAATAAGTTTTTCAGAACATAGTCCAAAAAACCATTTCACTTACAAGTTGAAATTACAGCCCATGCACTGATTTTTCAATGCAGAAAAGAAATCTAACAATACCAGAAAAATATGATTATATATTCCAGTCAATGTCATCTGGCACTACATAAAGAGTCACCACATAAAACTACCAGTGGATTTTTGCATCATTGAACTTTTGCAACAGTTTCTAACCAACTTTCTTAGTAGTGATGATTTATTACAACTTGAGACTTTCCAAATCCTGACCCCAAAATTTACTTTTCCCACAAATAATTATAATCTTCCTTGATTTATACATTTAGTTGTGTCTTTTAATCATACAAAGCTACTACTTTGAAAAATCAGTTGAAGTTATATATTTTGTTATTTATCTTAAAGAGATAGGAGAAAGTGTAAAGAAAACTTACTTTGGTGATTCTTGTTCAGATGACCTGGTAATAAAAAACCACAAACACAAAAACAACATTAAATTACCATGATTTAAATCTTCAAGAAAACAAGAATTAAACTCAATAAAAGAAAGGGCATAAAAGTCAAAAGGCGTGCTCATAATAAATTAATAAATTAAAGAATACTTAACCCTATGAAAGTCTGAATCAGATAACTAGGGTGTTTATGAAACAGTCAAAAAAAAATCCCAGGGTAGCTCTGATCACTCACTTTTGCTTTTGAAACAAGCACAATACAGGCAGCACACATCTGCTACTGCAACACAAACTATGCAGGAGTTAACACAGGCAATTATTTAGCCAGACACATAATTTTAGAAAATTTTAGGTGTGGATTAAAATGACTACAGATGTCACCAACTGTATTTTGTAGAAGTTAAAATGTGGCAAGATCTTTATGTTTAGGTAGCCAGAAATGAGCACAGGTGGCTTCAGAAGCTTGACATTTCCAATGCTTATTTTCATGATGTGAGAGCAGAGAAGGTGTTGACAGAAAACTTTGAGACAAAGGATAATGGAAGTTTAAATGGCTATAGCAATGAGGACAATCTAGAATGGAAAAGAAATCAAAATTTGCAGTATACATAATTTTCCAATGCATTCAATTATCTTCATCAAAAATCACCTGAAACAGCAAGCTAAATGATATGACATAAATTAAAACAATATCAGTACTACTACGACAAATTTCAAAGTAAAAGTTACCAAGAAAGGTGCTTAAAAAGTGAAGTTTAGGGCAGATGGGATAATTTTACAAATTAATTTAAGCAGTGACCAAAAATCCTGGAGTGGTGTATGTCCATGCTGGAAAAAAAATATGTGAAGTAGTTCAGTTTGAAAGTAGACTTGCTGAATTGCCAAGTTATAGGAGGCAATTCGCAGTATACAGTTAAATTTTCAACTCATGCTTTCTAAATCATCTTTAATACAAAGAATTATGTACATATTTCACCAAAATGACAGTAAAAGTAGCACCAGTATCAGTCTTGTTAAGATTCCTTGTATGTAATTTGACAATATCAAGAAATTCTTCCTTGAGAGGCAGAGATGATAAAGCTTGATCCCTGAGGAATTTTGGAGGTTTGAGTTCTGTGTACTTCAAATACTTTAAAAACATTAAGATTCTTCCCCTTCTATTGTGGTCATACCTAGCTTCTGACTTCACTGACATCCATCCCCACTCAACCATAATACGTCTGGTTCTGTTTGTTCACAATCCCCAGAGACTTTTTACCCTCCAAGGGTAAGCAGATCCTATTGGAATGTAAACTCCCCTGCTGCCTGACCAGCCCACATCTAAATGGGACAAATTCTGAACTTGGACTTTAACTACTCAGTGAGAGGAGAATGTCACCTCAAAATTTTGGCATTTTTTTCCTTCCCAGTCACTGACTTTCACTAATCTTGAGAAACTTTGCATATTCAAATACTAATTTTCTACATATCATATTATATATGATTGCATTGTTCAAATATTCTCAAGTGGAAACAGAGGCATCGGGCCTGTACAATGACATAAGCCTTATTTCCTTAGGAAGTCACACTAAAAATAAAGAAACATTGCATTTATTTTTGTTAAGCTAATGGATTTCCTCGTAAGGCAAAGAACAATGAAACTATACATATTTTTTATGTTTTGCCACAGGAGACCTACAACTCTATTACCAAACTCTGTGCAGAATCAAAATTGCTCCGAGTTAACCCTTTTAAGAGTCTTCATCAAAAACTTACAGACATAGAATTGTGATAAAAATCAATACAATGCTCTGGTTTTAACATATTATCTCCTCTTTATCTTCCCAAGACAAAAGAGGTAGTTTGAGAAAGAAAAAAAAACCAGATCGGGCTTTCATTCATAAACCTTCTATAAACTTACAGTAAATTTTTCATTATCTCTACCTTTGGAGACTTAAATGTGGGATATAAATTCTTAGTATTATTTGATGAAGATTTATTTGTTGAATTATTGCACTTTAATTCAAACACATTATCTCTAAAAGATTTACTGAAAATTCTGTAACCTTTTAAATTGGGAAGAAATATGACCAAATATTTGACCAAGAAAAGCAACCAAATTCAGTGTCTAAAAGAATTTATCAGACAGTGCAGCTGTGTCTTCCTGAAGTCCTTAGTAGGTCAGCATGCTAGAGCTGCAGAATTTTGCACTGCAACACAGTTAAACAGTATTTCTAGCATTTAATTACTCAGCAATATGATAAAATACCTTAAACATCAATAACTAGATGATTTTATTAGGCTACACAGTGTTACACAGTTTACTAAGCCATATTCCTCATTTCACAACATACAAGGACTGTATTTTAAGTCAATGAAAGATAACACTCACCAGACCAGCCATTCAACTTTTTCATCAAGGAAGAGAGATCTTCCTTGCAAGGAGATTAAACTTTCCATTGGTGCAGCAAACAAGCAGACACTTCAAAACCTCAATTAATTTCTTTTCCTTCCTTCACAATATAACTAAAATAATGCCATTTCAATCTTGCACTCAGTATGGACCAATCTATTGACAATTATCTTTTAAATATAGGTCTTTGCCCTGAAAAGTCTAACTCGCCTCTTCTGTCAGAAGGACAGAATGGAAAGGTCTTAAAGAAAGACCCCTCCTCCTCATTTTGGTGTGACCTGCCAGGGAATTCTGCTATTCTGAGAACCAAGGATGATAAATTACAGCAGAATAAAACCCCGAGAGAGAAAAGGGTCAACTGAAACAATAGCACTGTAGCAAAACTCCCCCTTTACAAACAACTGAAGGAAACATCTGTAGGTTTTGCCCTTGTGCAGTTCTTGAAGTTCTTAAAGCTTCTCTCCTTGTAACACCTGCAGGGTTGGGTAGATCGAGTATGCCAGCACTTCCATTATCACCTCTTTTCTGCAGACTCACCATTAAAAATGGGTTTTTTTATTCATAAGCAAAGTAAGTGGAAGGCACTTGCAGCAACACCTTTCTGCTGCCTTTCAGAGGAATTTATACACAGAATATACCAGCATTTCTGTGAAGAGAATGACTGTGTAAGGTAGCATAAGTTTCTTGTACTGCATAATTAAAAGGACTAGTACAGAAAACTGGAGGACTTCATGGCATACACAAGCTTTTCAGTGATTTCCTTTAAATACCAGTCCTTCACATTTGTAAGCTGCTACCTTTAAAGGGATATTTTGCTACTGTGCATTGACTTTGTTGACCATATTCCAGTTTACTGGCTTGCCATTAAAGTTTCATGTGTTTTGATACACAACAACTGCTTGGATTGCTGCAAGGTTTGCCTTATCACAAATTTGCAATTCAACTTTGAGACTTTCCATTTGGATGCAAAATTATTGCTTTTTGAACTGGCAAGGAAAGTGTAGTATTTGAATAAGGATATATATATATAAAGAAAAGTTTACATCTAAGCAAAATATATGTATGTACTATTTTCATGTGTATTTGTGTGGTAAAGCACATAAAACAAAGTCTATTAGTAGTAGCCTTAAAATTCTGATTTGAAACTAATTGAAACATTCCCAGCTCCACTGTCTAGTATTAGGATATCTTCCTTGAGAAAGGCTGAACTACACAAACAAGGACAACAGAATTTTGTGAAATGCAGTGGGTTTTGGAAGAAAAAAGAAATTATCATATCTGTGTATGATTAAGAACAAAGGATTTATAACAGTTTAAAATATGGGAGGGTGGGTTCACATATTTGCAAGTTTCTACCAAAAAAGCAGCTACCGGGACTTGGCTGGATATATCTGAAGAGTACTTTTATCAACAGTAAAGCTTTAAAAATTTTTCTCACATGAAAAATTATATTTTAGTTAAACTAATGATGTGTTCCCATAGTACATTCATCAAAGCTCACTATGCAGCTACAGTTTATTGTCTATCAAATGCTAAGCTAAAAGAATTGAACAAATGCAGCATCCGTTCAGGAAATCTATTTTCAGTGCAATACCTTCACCAGATGATGCATCACACTCACACCAGGAACATATGTGCACTTCCAGAAATTCATAGCACAGTGCAAGTGAATTTCCTTTTTGTATATTAGTTCATCATTTCATTTCCTTCCCCTCCAACTCTGGGGCTGTACACATTATTCCATTTCTATCACTAGCAAAATATAGTTTTACAATGTAAATTGAAAGATGTTTATAGCTCTGAAAGCATTTCAGACAAAAGTTTATGAAGGAATATATTGCATTTATAACAAGAGGAATTGTAGACTCAAAATAATTTATATTGGAAGGGAACCTGAGAGGTCACTTAAACTCTTATTTAAAGAATGGACATCAAAGGTAGATGTAGGTATTCAGGTCCTTGTCATGTTGTGTTTTGAGGTTCTCCAAGGATGGAAATAACTCCACCTATTTGCTGATGTGTAAAAAGACTTAAAAAATCAGAATGTGATACTCCACCCTCCCCCCCCCACCAATTATCTTTTGAGCATTTCCCTAGTTATAACTTGCGTCCAACGCCTCATGTTTTCGCTCTGCATCTCCAAGAAGAGTTGGCTCTATATTCTTGATAATCCTCTTTTGGCAGAGCAAGGCAACAATGTGACCAACCCCTGCTCGACTCCTCCAGCCTTCTGGTTCTCGTGCATCATATGCTTGCACCTGTGAATAGCTTGCCAGATTTATCTCATCAATCCAAGCATGACTCTAAATATATGATCTCAATCATCTCACCTGTCAGGATGCCTTTCTTGCTGACAGTTACTATACCTTATCACTTAGAAATATGCTTTATAATAATCTTTCTTCTAATTAGACAGAAAATTTCACAGCTAATCTTTTCTGTCAGGCCAGCAAATCTACTCTAAAAAAGTACCAAAACACTTGTTCCTACACAATCTACTCTTCCAAACCAAACAGACACATTTGGTTTATTTAATTACAAGGTGAACAGGAGAAACTGAATACAATTTGGATAACAAGACCCTCCACACAGCTTATCAGGTTACTTTTCCAAG